GGGCTATCAAGAAGTTTCTTACTCCCCTGCATGGGTGCTTAGTCCACAGCACAGCTGAGCCCTTCCTTACTTTCTCTGGAAACAGGCAGCATCCAGACTTCTTACCACATACTGGCAGCACAGTCTCCTTACAGCTGAGGGCCAACTTCATTTGCGTACAACTCTGTTAAATGCAATGTAGCTGCACCTAGGATGAATGGTGTCCATTTTGCATCCTATGAAGCGTTTCTGTTGATGTGAACACATGCATATTCCTTTTGTTCTAAGACACTTTTTCTCCACCTACTTTCTTTTTCAGGCTGTCTCACCACAAGTGCAAGTGCTGACCTCACTGTAAACATAGGGATAGAATTAGCAGAGCAGACCTCTCCAACACTACCACGTGCCACGAAAAACAAAGTCTCTGGGAAACTTCGTCGCTCTGCTAGTGCTCTCAGCAAATCTTCAAACTAACGCACTTTGGAAGTGGAAGTCCAGTCAAGGGAACTTAAAGCAAAATTCTTGAAATATATTAAAATATTTACTATATCAATAGAACTTGTAACTTTGGGTAAGCACACAATGAAGTATTTTTGCTATAAAATTTCAATTCTCTAATGTTTCAAAACTTAAATTATTGATGGACAGCTTTCACTTGAATTACCCGTCATGCATTTCACTTGATTTTTGCTGTCATAAAAATGACTTAGACAAATGTGGAGCTCTCAGTGTGTGTGGCATTTTAAGTGGTATGAGATAACTCACTCATTTTCCCTGAGTTTTGGTAAGTGCAAATTTAAATGTCACAGAGAGGAGGCAAACCAAGTGTTAGAACCAGTTAATATACTTTCCACATCTTGATTTTAAACATTCCAGTTAACCCTTGTTTGTATATTAACAAATTTTGTCTAAATGGAAATCAAGTTTCATTTGATTTACCATCTGATGGATGCTTTTCTTTTTATAAGTATGGGTGACCAACCTGGGTGCTTATCAATGTCTTCAAGTGCCCATTGCTGTTCTGTTTTGAACTGCTCACTCAGTGCAGTTTTTGTGCATGTAGCTAAAAATGCATAAGTATCAAATGAGTGTTGCTAAGTAATTTACCTGCAATCTGGAAAGCTACTGCCAATTGCATAAAACACCATGCCCTGGATTAAAATCACTTTGCTTAATCTTGCCATGTTATGCAGGAGGGCATATTCTCATGCATCATATAAAGGCTTGAAATGAAGGATGCTCCAGGTCTCGCAGGCTTGTGTCTCAACCCAGCATACCAGGAAATGGAATTAAGACCCCTTGCATTTTCTCTCTTAGTATTCCTGCTATGATCGCCACATGCCAGTGTTGCTGTATTTAAAGGTCTGCAGTCTGATGGTCTCAGCATCTGTTGTCAAATAGCCACACAGTGTAATGCAGGTTAGTTGTTAACATGTCCAGTTCAGCTCCAGCCACTTAGTTTACATCTCTGGTTATTTCATGATTGAAATCCTGTTAGGACTGTGCTTGGATTTGGAGTTATTTTGTCATATGGAATGCTGCATGTGATTGATGCATCATGGATTGTGATCACTTTTTCAGTCTAGGTAAAAAAATAAAAATGACCAAATTATTTAATTTAGAAATGCAGATATTGCACATTAGTAATAATTTTGTGTCACCCTGGCTTGCATAACTAGGAGCCAGTACACATCTTAGGTAGTCACATTGAGCTGTTGCACCAGCAGGACAGTAATCTGCTAATTGAAGTACCCCTAATCAGACCTAAATATAATAAACTTGAAAGCTTTCAAGGGCGCATGACATTGTCTTCTTTTACTGATCAGCACAATATACAAATATTTTAAACACAAAACCAACTTATTACGATCTCAGTAAGTACTGGGGTTGAAAAGCTAAGGGAAACTTTTTGTACTTTAAAAAATGTAACTTTACCACAAAAGTAAAGGAAGTAAAAGGCAAGAACTGTAATCACTTCGAACACTTAATACAAGTGAGAAAATTAAAATTGATGGTAGAAATTCTGTCATCGAATTTTGTCTTCATCTTGCAACAGCCTGCAAGATGAATTACAGTGATTTACATCAATCACCCATGTAAATGCTGCAATACCTGAGAACAACAGGGTCTGGAGCAGTGGAGTTCCAGCAGTGAATTTCCTAGCCTTTTACAGGACGATTGGGCACTAAGGGAGAAAGAGGCAATTGTCAGACAGCTAAAATCACCTTAGCCTTTGGTCTTTGAATCTTGGATGTTAGTGTTGGTGGTACCTCTGCTGCTGGAGTTTCAGATCTCACACCTCTAACCTTCCTAATCCTCCTCAGGTCTAGCTGACGTTGTTTCTATTTGTTGAATTTATGTTCATGATGTTCTTTAGCCCATTTAAACCTAATGTGATTTATCTCAACCGAAGGGGACTTTTAAGTGAAGCTAACTGCACCATTGGGCAGATATTTTTTGTTGCACTCAGTTTCTCTGTATAGGTTAAGTGAATGTCTATCTACTTTCATGTCTACAGTGATCTGCGTTAATTCTCTGTAAATATGGAATACTATTTGATAAATATTTACAGTACTATTAAGTTATAGTTTGGCATTTTGTTATTGGGTTTATGTATTAGTTTATTTGGTTCTAGCAGTAGCCCGTTTATCAGGATGAGGATAAATTTTGTAATTGGACCCATTCATTATCCAAACTAGAAAGTAGAAATTATTACTCATAATGGTAGTATGCTGTCCACATGAGCTGGCATTTACAGTTCACAGGTAAATGCAGTAAATGCCTGCTGGGACAGAGCACTGTTAAATCGCTAAAATGTCTGGTTTTCATTTCACTTTCTGTTTTAAACTATGTTTTTTGCTTCTTCCTGATAGTGTGTCTATAAAGTCAATTAGAAAAGTTGTGTATTTCATTATAAAATGTGTTCTCATAGTAATGATTGTTGGGTAGAAGAACATGGCTGTTCTTAGTTATCCAATAAAATGTCAAATATAAGCTGGCTGAAATAGTTCAAAGGGCATTTTTCTGAATAATGTGGAAACTTTCCTTCTAAGCTTACGCACATCTCTAATAGAAAGAATGAAAGTTCAGCTACAAAATTATTTCGTTGGCACTAAACATATCAAAAAATGAATTGTCGAAGTCCTAGTGGAGTTTTGTAACATAAAGCAATAAACATATTTTTCCTTAATGCCTCAGAAACCAGTTAACCAATTCACAGCATAATTTTTTATAAAATATACAGAACATAAAGAAAATGTCTCTCAGGTGCAAACAGCTTCTCTCTGATCTTTTATTTAACTGCCAGGGTGAAACAGGGATGCTGACACTGGCACTAGACTTTATTTCTTGTTATCCAAATAATAAATGCAGACTTAACTGCATCGGATGAGGATTTATTTTGTACAGTGTTAGTTGTTCGCACCACTTTTGAGCAGTTATATTCTGTCTAAAAAACAAAATACTGGGCAAAATTCAGAATTGGTGTAAGTAAGTGTAAATTTCATGGAAATCACTGGGCAAATGTGAGTAGAGACTTCCATGGTGAAGTGCAGTTTTGGGGTGTCTTTGGCTAAAACAACTTAATTTGGGCTGATTTGGTGTTCATGTAACCTAGGTGTAACAGAGAATGCAGCTGACATGTAGGTGTACAATAAGCTGTGGGAGGAGAGGTTCTCCCTTCCTGAGGAATATAAAATCCTTTGCTTATCCTATTCTGTCACCCTGCACACAGTTCCCATTAAGGTCACCTGATGGGATGACCAGGCCCTGGTTGTTCCAGAGTATGCTATGCTTTAATGAAGCAGCTTGTTTTTGATGAGGGGGAGATGATTTGTACTTCTGCTATTGAAAACTTGTTGGCTACCCAACAACATGCTTGCCCAACGCAGATTCCATTTAGCATAGTTAAACAAAATAAGACTTCATCTTGAGGCAATTGCTGCTTGTTGTAACAGTAGCCGTAACTCTGTAGGCTTTCCTAGCATTTTTATTGTTACAAATAGATTAATTTCACTACTAAAAAGAAATCTCCAGCACATCTTCACTGCTTGAAGGCATGGGGAGTGCTTCACTTAAGCCTTCCATTCAGTGACTATTGGATGAACAATAATGACAATAACAGCAGCATCTACAATATTTTGTAAAGCTCTGAGGAGAAGGGACTTCTTGATGAAATCAGAAAGAAGGGATGTACTTTTCGGTGTCTTTTGGCCAGACTCTGTTATTCTTTTCTTGAAACTTCTCCTCATTCCAGTTCTCTTTTGCTTGCTTACCCCCCGAGCAGGTGTTACCCTGAAGATGCGATTAACCAGCTTATCATATCTTAAATTGTAACCTGGCCACACATTTAAGCAGCTAATTGCACAACAAAAAGTAAAACCAGTCACAAAATTATTACATAAAAAAGGTATAATAATTTTGTGGCTGGTTTCAGTTGTGTCTTAGAGTGAACGTGTGGCCAGATGGACTGCACCAGGGCTCAAACGTGCAGTCCCAGCCAGTCCCTAACCAGCTGATCAGGATCAGCATGGAGACAATGCCAGGACTCAGATGGGCCCTGGTGCTGTCCCTGTTGTCCCCTGATCTGCTGATCAGGAGTTAGCTTTAGGGGCTCAAACTGGCCTAGTGGGGCTCGAGACCCAGCCAACAATCAGCTGATTGTCAGGCATATTTGCCAGTTCAGAAGGTGCCCCAGTGTTAAGGATCCCAGGCTCCCCCTGTACTAGTAAGTAGGGCCCACTTGGTGTCTGATCCCTGATCCCAAAATCATGCCTCCTGCCATGCACATGTAACATGGCAGGAGATACAATTTTTGGGCTTGTGGATCAGATCCTGTCATGCCTTTAAAGGAACATCTGTCATCAGCCTTAGTTCTTACCTTAGTTGTTGTACTTATAGCTGGAGAAAAATTACTCCCATAAATGTTTTCGCTGCTGTGATTCAAGTAAATAATTACTATATTACAAGTTTGGCAAAGGTGTTTTCATATTCAGGAGTCCATAAGATAATTTACAAGAACAGGGCTTATAAATATTTTACAGAGACCATTCCCAAAGTAAAAGTATAGTTAGACAATGTAAATGTATTTTGCTGTTTACATGGTTTTTTTAATATGCACGTTCTGTCCACTGATAAAAAGGGGTAAGGTCACATTTTTCTCTTTGACAAAAAATATGCTGTGTTCTTCATAGCAAAGGGGCAATTTTTCTACCCCTTTGCACTAGTAAAAAAGGAAAAATGTAAGTCATTGTAAATGCCTCTGGGAACTATATGAAACAGCATTCCCAATCTCTAAGTAAGGCAACCTGTTTTCCTAATAGGCTGCATAGGCATTTCCACATTACAGTGGTTTTGCTTCTGTTATGGAGCCAGGGCTCCTGAAAGAATGCTGTAAAAGCCTTACATGTTTCTATGTTCTCGTGTTGGGCTTGTCTGTCATGTAAAGTCTGTGGAGCTGACCACAAGCAGAGCTGAAACAGAAATGCCTTGGCTATGCCATATACCAAATAGTCTTCCCGATTACATCATCCTCTCAAAAGTGAAATGCTGGAATTTCAGAAACGACATTGCTCCATCTTTAACTGACTTCTGGCCAGTGTCATGAGCTACAGCTCATGCTGGTTCATGCTTTCCTCTTCTAAGGGTGAGGTTGTGCCCAAACTAAAGTGCTGATGCCCAAGGGGTGAGAGTGCAAGGAGTTCTGCCTTCTCTATCACTCCTGGGCAGGGAACAAGAATTCCTATACAGTAGTGTAGGCACTGCTCCCAGGCCCTGCCAGCAGCTTGGCCAACTCCCCTAGAAGAATGGATTTAGCTTGTGTGATTTTACAAGAATTGCTCATAGGAGCAAAAACGTTATATAGAATCAGGCCCCTTATTATCAGCTAATAATGTTTTATATGAGAATTTTAAAATTGTCCCAAATTTAGTCTGCTCCCCTAGTTAGCAAAGCCCATTTCCACCCCCCACCGCCACCTCCACTGCTCTTAGCTCATAGATTGCCTTTCTGCAGAACATCCAGCTACGGATGTTAGGACACACGTGGCTGAGAAGCAGCTCTAAACTGAGCTACAGAGGTTACTTAGAGGAACCAGACTGATTCTTCCTTGAAAAGTTACATCCTTTTATCATAGGCCTGGCAGCATTCTTGGATACGTGTAGCCAATTCTGCCCCCAAAATTCTCCTTTCTAGTTTCTAGCCCTCCCCAGTCTATAAACCTTGTTCCTCTAACAGGCCCTTGACAGCTGAACTGAAAGCCAGGACTGCTGCCAGGCTCCTCTCTCTGGATCATACTTAGGACTGCTCAGATGACAGGAGTAAGTACATTTGATCAATATTTTCAAAGAAATGGCCCTTTGGATAAGTGCAGACGAGGGCCCCTTGTGAGAGCACTCCCACTGCATTCAGCCTGGCGAGTATGCTCTGCAATAGCCTCTGGCACAGTTTGAACCAGCAGAGTCTGTGCAACAATAGTATTATCTCCAGCTTCCTCTGAAGAGGTTTTTGCAGCATTTTGCTAATAATAATTACAGACCATGGCTAAACCCCAAAAGGCATTATTTATATGCTATTCATTGCAAGAAACGCTTGATGAGAGTTCCTCCTGTTCTAAGCCTCATAACACTTTATTGCAGAGCAGTTTACATGCACATTAAAAATGATATGTTTCTAATGGTGATTTTCTACTCTATGGAGAGATTATTTGAGAAAATGAGGTGGGGGAGTCTGTTCTCTCAGCCGTTGTAGTATCAGGAGCAGTTATAAGATAACTCCATTTTATACTAATGGGAACGATACGGTTCCATTTGTTTGGTAGGAAAGGGAACCCTGTGGTGTCTGTCTTGGTAGGGGAATGAGGTGGAAGCAGAGTTTGTCTCTCAAATTGCCTTTAGATCATTTTTTTATTTGGAAATAGAGGCTTAATCCTACACAGTATGAAGTAAATTCCTCAGTTATTTAGTTTGTAAAATTTGCATGAGTGAGGCAATTTGTAGGAAGTGTCAAGAAGAGGTTATGTGTGCCTGTTTCTATTAACAGTGAAACTAAGGGGTTGGCAAAGACCCTTTGATTCAGTTTTGAAAAAAACACCCTGCTGTCTGGGCAGAGAATTTGACAAGAATGGGGGGAATAATGGGAAGCTCTGAAATCAGTGACCAGGTTTTCAAATGCTGAGCCTCCAGACACCCTCAATGAAGTCTGTAAAAGCCCCTGGGTGCCAAGCCAGGCTGATATAGGGTCCGACATAATAAGTATTTGGGAAGTTAACTTCTGACCCCATCTTTAAGAAATCTTTGCCTTGAATAATAGTCCTTTGGAGGATCATTTTGTGAACTGGGAATGAGCTTATCCTGCAGACACGGATTGAAAGGTTGAATATACAGCAGTATGCAGCTCCACAGAACTCAGTTAATCAGGGCACTCAGAAAAGGTTTAATATGGTTACCAGATACCCCAAAACTGAGGGTTAATGTGGAACCCCTTTTAACTCACCTGTGTTTGCATTAAATGAGCATTGGATAAAATGTATGAGCAGTCCTTGGAAGAAAGGTATCCCATCACCCCAGAGAGTTGTGTAACCCCTGGTTATAGTCAGGCTCCTTGTATTTTTTTTCTGGCCCCATTAATCTAGAATTCTTTGCTGTCCCATGGCCCAGTTTCAGCAGGAGGAAAGGAGAGTGTCTCCATAGCAGAGCAGCCTGTAAATGTAGGATTAGCCTAATGGATTTACACACCCTTATCTGAGGAGGACCTAGAATCCAGGTCTCCCATATCCTGAAGGAGTGCTCTAACAACTGGCTTCTTCTGTAAGAGGTAGGCTTCACCATCTCCCACTTTCGACAAGGAGCGTGACCCCTGCTCTTTGTGAAGTGAATGACACAGGCACCTGCCTCTAGGAGAGGATTCCAGGCTGTGAGTCCCAATCTCATCTAAAGGACTTGCTGCAGCCCAGAAAGAAATGCCCAACACCCCACTCTCTTCAATATTCCATGTCACTAGCACAGGTAGCAGACAGAGTTAGGGCTAACTCTTGTGAATCCCATTCTGAGCCTGTCTTAGGGCTGTGGATTATTCCACGGTGGGAGCCAGGTCCCTCGAAGTCGGGCATTGCACTCCCGAGCATCACAGCACCAAGGTCACTTTGCAGATCTAGCCCCTCATGACTTTCTTTTCCCCCTCCTTTGTATGCACCTGACACCTAGGAACACTATGATCTAGCCAAGCAATAGAGGGGGCACATTCCTTTCAACCCCAATCTCACAAACACACAATTAAGACTCACACAAATGTACAGTCCCGCTGAACACAGTTACTCACAAGCTAACTGTCTTGCGGTGAGGGCCATACATTGCAATGGTCATGTTTTAAAAAGCGCCCCAACACTGTTACATTGGTTAGGAGCTGTGTCAATATTCCCATCTTAAAATCCTGTTCATCAGGAGGTTATGGCCTCACATCCTTTTGCATACCTTGTCTCCAATATAGCATCAATACTGACACTTGCTGAGTTGATGTTAACTAATCCCTTTGACAAATTTAAAGGCGTAAACCATTCACTTCCCATGGCAGACACTCTGCAGCACAATGCCATGCGCCTTGAAAAATTGGCTGGTGCGCTTGTCCACGGATGGGCAGCAGTTCTATCTCCAAGACGACTGATTACCGTAATGTGAAGTGTTGTGCTGCTGCAGTCTGGCTAATTTACAGGGCACTAATTGTGCATTCTGTACAAATCTGCATTGTTATTGGAGCCAGGAAAAATCTGTACACCCAGGGGATTGTTTTTCATTTTCAGTGTGTAAAAATAGCAATAAGTTTGATGCTGTGGATTAATGACCACCCTGGGTCCCTTAACTCTGCTTCAGGCCATTACCTTCTCCCATTTACAGCACTCCCAGAGAAAAGCCCCCACACCACGATCCTTATTGCTTAAAAGATGGCCCAAATAGCAAAGATGATAACTGAGTCCCATAACAATACATGGGCCTGATCCTGCAAACATTTATTACCAGGCATGTGGCCTAACCCAAGGCTCACATGAGTCAATGTGATATTGTGTTGTTTGCTTGCTTGGGTTTTGGATCAGGCCCATAGTGCTTCCTGACCTGTAGTTCTTGATGAATAGTAACCCTATAAGCCCCCTGGGTTACTGAACAAGGGTGGACTTAAGTACCTAAGTCAAGTGGACTTAACTTGATCATTGTAGACAATAAGATTTAAGTAAATACTTAAAATTAATCAGATTCTGTCCTTCCCTGAACAAGGGTTGATGCAATATGTGCATAAGCATTTCCTGACTTGGAGCCCAAATGACCCACCATAACAAATCCAGAAGAATGTCCCCAAATATATGACAGACCAGACCCATTAGGTTTACCAGGAATATGAATTAAAGAGAATAGAAATAACCAGCAGATAGTGACATCAGATATTTCCTTGCCTTTTTTTTTTTTTGGAACTATAATTAAAATGAATGTAATTGATGCGTGAATAATTCTAGAAAAATAGCAGTAAGATGCTGACTTTCCTCAACAGTGAAAGACCATCCTGAACTGAGACCACACTATGTCATTGACCTGCCCTGCCACGTCTTGGCTTCTCAGTGAATTCTCAGAGATCCAAGTCACCGCTGATGTTCAGCTTGAAAATGCCACAAAGCCTGGCAGTTTAGAGAGAGGAGGGAACCTCTGCTTTCTTTTAATTGTTTTTCTTTCTGCTTAAGTTAAGGAAAAACAAGTCACCTTTGCAATGTGAGGAGAAAGGTAACACAGAGTTACCAGGTTGGACTGAGCTACTGAAATTCCAAGGGCACTGTGCAGCAGATGGAGCATGAATATTTGCATTATACTAGATTCAAAGTAGTTTTCTCATTTTTAGTAATAGTAAGCAATCCTTTCCTAAAGTCATTGTAAACAAAAATGTGTTAACAGTAGACTGAGAGCTTACTTTAAAAAATAATAATATTGATGTGAAGTTTCATAACAAAAGGACACATGCTGAAAACTCTTCCAATACTAGTTTACCTCACTTGACTGATCAATGCATTTTGCCCAGTGATTGTGAGATTAAGGTATTCTGTAGTGCGTTCATATAGGGGGTGTGGCACTCTCCTATACGGTTTTAATCTTGCCTTGGCTGCACTGCTAAACAATAATGGAAAAATCAGGATCTAGAGGGATGATAGCATCTTAATGTCTGTTAAACATGTTCAGCAAAACATTGATCATGTTGCCTGTAATGGAATTGCTTTAAACAAAACAAAACAGGTCTTACAGTCTTACAATGTCCTGTTTTAATGTACTTACCTGTATTAGAATACCTGTAACGTGAAAAGCCATGCTTGAAATGCCCTTCTTTCTGGTTTACATATCACAAGTTTTTATGATGCAAATCTGAACTCTTTGTTATCCAAGATGTACAGTAAACTAAGTTTCATTAAAGTTATTTAAAACTGTATTAAGGCATTTGTGTGTAAGTGAAGCTTTATGATGCCTGGATGGAATGTGCAGAAAGTCCAAGTGTGATGTTTCTTTACAAGCTACAAGAAAAACACTGTAATATCTACAGTCATGAACTAAAATTTAAAAAGTATGGCACCCCCAAGAGTGCCAACCACTGATGCCTGGATTTTGTTCCGCTAAAGTACCTTTGGCAGAACAAAGGGCCAAAAAAGTGGATGTAAATGCAATGTATTGGTCCTACTGACTTTGCTGGATGCAGAGTCAGGCCAGCACAGAGCACTTTTGTGAAAATCTCACCTTTTTTTTTATACCTGTGTGTATTACCTGGGAGACCGAGATGGTGCTTTGAAAGATGGAGGCCTGTGTTTTATCAGAGAAAAGTAAGCAGAGAGTCCAGTTAGCTATGTATTGTCTACCTCTATACTTTATTTAGTTAGTCTATAAAGTGCGTATCTACCCTATCAACTTAGTTATGACAGCACACCTGAAAAGAAGGAAAGGGAATTCTGATCTAAGTTCTGGCCTTTAGTACTGTACTTTGAGATCCCTACCTGCTGATGGGGTCTTACCTGCTACCTACCTTTTGTCCATACGTACTGCTCATTCTGTGCCAGTGACAACAGCAGCATCATAAAGCCACCTGGAACAACTCGCTACGTGTTCTGTAAGGGGCTCCATAAAAAGGTTGTGAGAGGTCAGTTTCATGTTCAAAGAATTTTCCAATCCCTATGGCCAAATTCCCACTGCTGCTCCTAAATCATGTTGGGAATGTCATACTGCGTCTTCTCACATGAAGAGGTTGGTCTATCACCAGAAGTATGTGCACCAACAAGGTATTGACAGCTACTATTAAGCTACATAGAAACCCCAAGAGTCAAACAGTATCCTGCACAAATGATAACATGAAAAGATGGAAGTTGGCATCCTCATCCTGAATCCTGTCCGCTCACCATTTATACCTGAAGCAAGAAAATAATTCTGGCTTCAATATGCAATTTTCCACATGCAACAGATCACACCTACAAGCTGGGCCTGAGGCAGATCATGTGAAAGCATGGAGGCATGCAAGAAGTGCTGGTCGGGAGTTTTTTGACAAAGGGATTCTTTTGGGAAATGCCAAATCATCAGAACCATTTTAGAGAATGACACTGCAGAAAAGGTTTTGATTTCATTTTGCATCAGAATGGGCCAGACAGGCTGGTACCTAGGGCATCAACACAGGGGCACAGACTGCATGAACAGAGGGGCAATTGTATTCAATTTCAGAAGTTCATGTGCTTAGAGGAAAGAACAGTCCTAGTCAGAAACTTTTATCTATCTTGAGTCTTTGCAGATGCTTGCCTTTGCACAGCACACTCTCTTTGGAAAATATTTGTACAGAGAGTTCTAATATGAGGACATTTTTGTCACTACTGACTACTCATGCACAGGAGGAAACACCAGATGGATCTGGTAATTCAGACTGCTTATGCTAGATATTTGCCTGTTTAATTTCTCTCCTAAAAGCACCCAGAGACATTTTTAGCAATATCAAAATGAGAAAATAAAGTATTTTAAGGATCAAGATCCAGATCTTGTAGGTCCTCAAAATTTCTTGGGTAACATCATCAGCTTTGATGTCACTGGGTTGGACTGACTGGATAATTAGCTTTGCCATCAGCACAGCATAACACAATGGTTATTTTTTCTTCATTTACAACATCCCGCGCGTTTCAGGCAGACAATTTGATATTGACATTTTTGCAAATAATTCAATACAATCTTTTCAAATAATTTTCTCATTGCATTTCTTTTCAGTGCATTACATATTTCAACAGAAATTAACTTTCCATTTTTCCAAATGGTTTTCAGAGCATTCTTGCATCTTGGCTCTTGTCCCACAGTAAACTTAATTAGTTGATGAAAATTCCTGACAAATTGTTCAAAATAAGAGCTAAGCCCTCAAAGTATACAATACCTTCATCTCCTTTCAGAAGCAATTCATTTGTCACAGTGAACTGGGTAACTTTTGCTACCTTTAAAAAAAAAGATAATACCTTTCTTTTAATCTGTGCAGATGATATTAGTGCAGTTGGCATGGCACCTAGGAAAGGCAGTTATGATAAAACAGGTATCCTCACCATATTCACAGTTTGTATAGACTGTAATCATATAAGGAAATGTTTTGCATGCTTTTGTTTTCTTCTCTTAAGTTTGGAAGCTTTCCTTGGGATGAGATATGTTGAGTTTAGAACAAGCCAGTATGTGGAGTTACATGAAAAATTTTGTGCCAGAACAGGGTGAATTGACACAACTGATTTGACATTGTAAGGTGAATCTCAACAGAATGACATCAAGTATCAGTGTAGAAACACACACACACACAACCTAGAGTTTCTCTCTTCCTTGCTCTTGTGCAATCAGCCATTGCATTTAAGTAGACTAAGCAGTTTTCATGTCAAACAAAAACATCAGCCTTGAGATCCATTTGCAAAAATCCCAGTTTGATCAAAACTATATCGGTTCCCATTCCATCAGGATTGCCTGGTGACAAGGTAAACATAAAAGGCCTTCACATAATATTCCAACCCTGGCTGGTTCCTATACTACTCTTCACTGTAACAATGCAGCACATCTCCAATATTTGCTTTCAGAAAATTAATTTGCAGTCAAGCTGGTTTGTGTGTTCCAAAATCTGATGGTTTCAATGAATCATCCATTTCATATAACCCTTTATGAGCTCAGTGTCCTGTATTATCTTCTGCAGTAGGTGGCAAATGTGGTTGAGTCTCCTTCTGAGGCTGACAAATCACAAATGTGTCCACTTTGAGTATTCCTTGTAACCCCTGTATGTCCCTGTAGGTCAGCAGCATCTTGCCTTTCCCTGACATAGGGTTCGAGTATAGTACTAGAAGTGTAGACCAGCTGCTGATTCTATGCAGTGTTTCAGTGACCAAACTACAGGTCTTGAGAAGCGTTTGGGAGAGAGAAAATCAGTCTGCTTGCAAAAGAGTTCTTGAAACTGGGTGGGAGATTTGAATTCCCCCTTCAGCTCCTTTAGAGCCGTTGTACTGTATGGCAATGGCAGCAGCTTGCAGCTAGGTAATCTGCAACTCTCCTGCTGGCGTTGAGGAAGAGGGGAGTTGTCTTCTCTACTTCTCTTTTGAGGGTAAGCTACAGCTGCTAATGCCCTCTGATAAGGGTTTTTCCCCCAGTGCTACAGTGCCTCCTCCATGACAAAAGTCTCTCAGCAAGATTCACAAATTGGTTTCCCTGCCTCCCAAACACAAGAGGCTTATGCTGCACCCAAAGGAGAATGTACTGGGGTGACAGGAACATAAAGCCAAATAAAAGCTGGTGTTAACAATCCACAGTCTCTGAGTGCAGTAACCCCACCTCCAGTCCATCTAGGAATTCCCTTGACTCCCAATAGCCTCACAGTCCCAGGATAATCCAGCTAAGATTTCTTCTGGACATGAGAAGAGCATTGCAGTTGTACCCAGCCCATCCATGTTCCCTCGCATGCTCTAGAAGGAGCTTTGTCCTCTTCTCTCCTTCATTTCCTGCCAAAAATGTGAACAGGGTCTGGCCACAAAAACTCCAGCATGGACTCCTGAGCCCCACTTAGATACTCTGTAAACCAGAGCCTCTGCACTTAGGGCAACTGTGCAGTGCCTGGGGTACACCAGCTGCCACGCTGCCAATTACAGTGATGCAAGCAGCTGCCATGGTGGTCATGGCTATTTTTGTGCCACCCTCTCTCCCACATGCACAAAAAAGGTGCCTGGGGTTGCTGCCCCAGTCACCTCCTTCCCCCATTACACTATTACTGCTGTACACTGTAAGCCTTTCCCAGAGGCAATCACTGCAGACACTTCTTACCAGGATTATACATCTTTTACTATAGTAGCATTGTAATGCAGTTGCCATAATTCACATCACTGAGCCAAGGTCAATAACACCACTCCTGGCTACTGCAATTTTTGTTCTAACTCTGTGACCTTAGGCCTGTAAGCACTCATCTGAGGAGACCTTCCCACCACTTACATACGAGCCTGGAACCAAATATCAAAATCTCAAACCTTAAAAAAATAGGATTCTGCTTTTCCTTCCAGCCATGTGTGCAAGGGAGTTTATGGGCATATGTTTTGTGCTGGTCAGTTTGGTATGTTTCTATATCACCAAAAATCAAGAAAAAATACTACTGCTTAGCCACATTATGCCTTTGAGTTTAAAATACTCCCCAATAGCATCCACCTTATCTTAACTAAGTTATCATTCATTAAATGAACATTAAATCTATGAGTATGTTGTGTCGGCTCTGCTCGCACCTTTCAACCTCTCGCTAACTCTGTATTTGCAACAGTCCAACTTCTGAGTCTGAAGGTCTTTCCCAGTAATGCATCTGTTTGGGGATTGTTTTTCTCCTGTGTTGAATTTTGTTCAGCACTTTGAAGATTCAGAGTTTCCTACAGTACCAAGGCACACCATTTGTGGCCAAGTGGAGAGAGTATGAGCCTCTGTGTCTGTCATGAAAAAATGTGTGTTACTTCACATATCAGGTAGGGGCAGCGTTTTGGGTGTCCAAGTCTGTTTTCATTGGATGAAACTGAAGTCGTAAGCAAAGCAATTTGATAGTAGATAACAGAAGCCTTTGTTTGCTTCATGTGTCCTATTCATGAGCTGCAACAACACAACACCAAAAATGAAGAGTCCCTGAAATTGCAGTATACACTGGTCTCAAGGTACAGGACATCTGTGCCCCCTCCCCCCCACCCTTACATTTTGCTACAAAAATGAATAACACACAGTTAATCACATGCTGTACAGCATTTCATATGAATGTGGGAGACTTGTGCTTGTAAACCAGTGTGGGGATTCCAGACAAATAACTGTAATGAGGCCAGGCCACAACCCTGGATGCAGCAAGTCCCAATCAAGAGATTAAGGCAAGTCATCCCCAAAACAAGCACCACCTGTAGCAAGCACAGAGCGGTCCCCTGGTCCCAGCTGGGC